ATACACCCAGCAGCGCTGCTGATGCCTGAACGGTATGTGGAATGAAGTGGGCGGGCATCGGGAGGCCACTATGGCACGGGGCAAGCACTATGGGCAGTCTATCTGAAGTGTACCTGGCGTATAAGACGACCCCCCACTTGGAGGCATATTTTTCAGGGCCAAAAAATCGTCTTATACGCCGGCAAATACGGTACTTGTCCTGCTCTCTGGTGTGGTTCATAGGGTGCTGGGCCAATTGTGTCCCCTTTTTCTACAAGCTTATCTCCAAATGCTGGGAGCCGTGAGTGAGATCCCCCCGCCCCAACTCCTTTTTGTACCATTCATCTTACCTTCCCAGTTACATCTGAAGCCAGCAGTTAAAAAGCCTTTTGGTATAAAATATAACATTTATAAACATATTAAAGTTCTTGTAGCCGTTTTCAGAGAAAACAGGCCCCCTTTGAACTTGCTGCACAAGCAGGTTTATTTCCCTACCTGGCCTGTGGCCAGCCAGGGCGCAGCGCTTCTTCCACCTGGGAGCTGTCCCCTTGCTGGAGAAGGCCCCCGGGACGCAGCCCAGCAGTGGGCTGAGCCAGCTCTGTGTCTTGCCCTCTTGGCCGTGGTGACTGGCAAGGGTGAGACAGGAAGGGTTGGCACAGCTGCCTCTAATTGTCCAGGGAGGCCCAGTTGTCCTGGGCACATTGGGGTGGCCACAAGCACTGCAGAGGGGAATAAAAGTTGGTCCGTAAGAGTTGGAAAAACTCCCAGAAAGAGTTGACATTGCTAATATGACCAGCTTCACCTGGTCAGGGAGGTTACCCTGAAATTGAACATGATTCTCTCACATTACTGGCTTGCTCTGGAGTGTCTTCCCACCGTGCATCCTCATCTTGGGGAGCTGGCACGTCTGTGCTCATTTCCAGCTTCCTTGGCCTTCTGATTCTGTGACCCTTTGTCAGCCTGAAGGCAGATGTGTGCTGTCCCCATAGGAAGCTGGCCTGTGGGCGAGGCGGATCCTACTCGGCCTGGGTGCCCCGTTGGCCGATGCCAGGAGGTTCTGGCTGGAGGCACTGTGGGCAGGTGCCCAGGGAACCTGGAAGTGGACACACTATGTGCAGCTTCTCCTTCCCTTGTGTTGGAGATGGTTGGCTTGGGTGTAGACACGGCAGGTGCAGGCAGTGCCGTTCGCTAGCTTTGCCGCTGCTCCAGCGGGAGCCTTGCCGGGGTTTGTCTTCCTCCCGCTCCGCCCTGGCGAGGAGGAAGTAGCAGAGGCAGATCACAACTCGTCCGCTCTCCTGCCTGTTGGCCTTGATGGCTTCACAGCAGCCCAGGTTCTGAAACAAACCTTGGGATACGGGATCCTGACATTTGACAAAGTCGTGTTTTTCCCCGATTTGTTGATTTAATTAAAGGTGTAAAGGAATGAGATTTAATTAAAACCACAGAGAAGTATATGAGTTGCCTTTATTGAGAAGAAACCAGTGTTCATAAACTAGGGACTCGTGGACAAGCTTCAGATGGGCTGCTCTGCAACCGGAGCCTGGGCCAGGACTGAGTGAGGCGGAGGGATGATGTGACAGCAGCTCCGCTTCCTGGCATCACCTGCACCAGGGCCGGGCACACCTTTTCGTGAGCCAGCTCCTCGGACTCAGCAAACCTGCGAGTGGGACACGCACCCTCATTCACAGGTGAGGGTGCTCAGGCTCCGAGCCGTGGAGTCCCCCACCTGGCTGGGTAGTGGCTGAGCCTCCTGTGACCCTGCACTGCCTTTCCTCACAGAGTTCTTCTTCCAGGTAGGCTCTGACACCTCTGAGTTTTAGGAGGCAACAGAGTTGTTATCCTCCCCCCCGCACCTGTCAGTACAACACACACACACACACACACACACACAGCCTTCCATGGAGCTTGCTCAGCCCCAGGCTGCAGGTGGGAGCAGGCAGACCCTGGGCCTGTGGTGGGAAGCAGGTGTAGTTTGTCGCACCTGCTGACCTACTGGAGCTCTGGTTCCTTTCGTGAGCAGTGTCCCCACCCCCTGGGTATCCTAGGCCACGCTGGCCCCCAGCTGGTTCTGGGGCAGGCAGGGTGGTTCCCTGTGGGACCTGCCTCACATGAGGACCTGGGTTGCAGTGTGGAAAAGCTCTTCCCAAACAGCTACCCACTGGGTTGGAATCCTGTCCCATCCCCTCTCTCCACGTTTGTTACCTAAAACTTCTGAGCTGTGATTATCTTGGGGCCTACCTGTGTTTTCTGTCAATTGCCATCATTTTCTGGTGAAGTGACACCAACAAACTGGCCCAGCAGTCACTCCTCTGCTCCCAGGTGCCAGAGGGTGGGGGCTCAGCACTACCCTGGGGTTCAAACTCCTGGCCTGTGCCTCCTGTTGGGGCGGGGGTGCCCTCAGTGCCCAGGTAAAGAGTTTGACACCTTAGAAACCACTTCAGTGACCAGCTGGAGGCTTGGCACAATGGAGGGTGAGAGTGAAACGCAGCCACGTAGCAGACAGTGGCTGGGGGTCTTTCAGAAGTAGATGAAGTGAGTGGATGGGAGTCGTTTTTACAGGTGTTTATGGTAACTGGGAATTTAAGTGCATTGGGAAAGCAAGTGAAATATAAACACTAAACTAGCTGGGTTCACAGCTGAAGTTGGAGCGGAACCCTTTGCCGGAGAGACAAAGGGGACAGAGCACAGGTGCACGTAGGTTCGTTCTAACAGGACGGCCCACCCCGACCCGGACCAGAGCAGCTGGGGGAGTGGGTCACGCGAGCTCAGTGGGCGTCACAGGGCTGGTGTCCGGGGAAGGGAGCAGAGGTGTTATGTCTGAGGAACTGCGGAGGCAGCGTTTGGGAGGGGAGGGTGTTCCATGGTCAGTCCCAGTGTGATGAGTGAGTGGAAGCTCCCGGCGGTCACAGGAGCTGCCCCGGGCTTCCAGCCTCTTCCCTGGGGAGGCTCCCGGCGCTCCTGATGCCGCGTCCTGGAGGCGGGCTGTGGGGGCCTCTGTGACAGATGCGGGTCCACCTGACAGGCGGCCCGACGGCATTTCTTTCAAAGTGACCAACACAGTGTTGGTGCCACTCACTCAGCCTTGACCGTTAAATACCTCATGTCTCCCCTCTTAGCTGGTGCTTTGGGCATAGGGGCGGAGGTGAGTGATGGGCGAGGCCTGAGGAGTAAGGACATTGGAGGCAGTTGTGGGAGAAACAGATCTGGTTCCTCAGAATTGCCAGCACACTGTTCCCAAAGCAGCTGTGAGGAGAACGGCGCATCTGACATGCTGGTGCCTCCTGGCACCGCCAGACCATGGTCCTGCACCTCAGAGCAGCACGCTCCGAGGCTGGACAAGAGGCCGGACCACAGGCCCAGCAGGTGTCTGCTGGACACCGAGCCCCAGTCCTCCCAGGAGAGCTCTGGGCCCTCGTCCGGCCGGGGCAGGAGGGTGGCTGGTTTCCCATTTCCCGTGTTGCCACTCATTGACTTGGTTTTGGTTCTTCCAGGAAGAGCTCGCTGACGGTGCGGGCCATGGACTGTGTCACCTCCACGGCCGTCCTGTCCCTGCTGCTCGGCTGCGTGGGCATCTTCAGCCTCTTCAAGCTGCTGCAGTGCCTGCGGATGAAGGCCCACCTCCAGGACGCCGTGGTGGTCATCACGGGCGCGACCTCGGGCCTGGGGCGAGGTGGGTCCCGGGGGCAGTGCTGTCAGGCGTGGAAGGTGGCCTGGCTGGAGGAGCCACTCGGCGCCACGGGGACAGAGCACAGGTGCACGTAGGTGGAGCTCTGGGGACTTGGGAACAAGGTCTGCCCTGTGCTCAGTCCAGTGCCTAAACGCAAGAGCTTCAGTGCAGGAGACTTCAGCCTCAGTGTGGGAGCAAAGGCTGGTGAGGAAGACCGTGGCCCCTGGAGGCGCATGTCCACCCAGCGGGCAGCCTTGCTCAGCTCCGTGGTGGTTGAAATAGGGCTTTTTATGTAAAGACCTCCGATTTTCAAATACGGACAATTCGGGGCCTCTGTGAGGGCCACACAGAGAAGCCCTGGTTTATAGCCTTTCTGTTGTTGTTAGTCCTCATCTGAGGGTATTTTTTCCATTGATTTTAGAGCGAGGGAGAGAGAAATAGAGAAACACTGCTGTGAGAGAGACACATCAGGTGGCTGCCTCCCACATGTGCCCCAACTGGGGCCAGGGATTGAACCTGCAACCCAGGTACGTGCCCTTGACTGGGAATTGAACCCATGACCCTTTGGTGCTCAGGCCGACACTCTAACCACTGAGCATGCTGGCCAGGGCTCCGCATCTTTTCTTGCCTGGAGATGTACCCGACATAGCTTGGCAGGGCTGGAACCAGGATGCGTGATGCCTCGGCTCCCCAGTTTCTTCAGTCTAGTCCCATTCTAGTTCAGTGAGCACCCTGAGCTGCTGGGTCCGTCAGTCGCCACCACCCCCTCCCAGCAGGTGAGTTTGTGGAGCTGTCACTGGTTCCCTTCCAAACATGTGAAGGGGGCAGTATATGTCACCCCTAATACACGCACCCCATGTGTCTTCATACAGAGATAGTGAGACAGGGAACATCGGCCTTTCCTGAGTCCCAGCTCATGCTGCTGGTGTTCTGCCCCTCTGACATGGGAGGGACAGGACTCCATGTGTCTTTGTCCTTCCAGCAGGGGAAATAGCCCAGGTTATTCTGAATTAAAGTTACTTTAGAAACAGCTGGTGCCAGAAGGACAGGCCACTCCGGCCTCCTTCGTGCCCTTGAAAGCAGGAACTACACCTCCCGGTGAGCAGCACCCGCCTGGCAGTCAGTGATGTGATAGCTGTGTGTGGGGCCGGGTGGGCACTGGTAATATCTGAGAGCTTCATATTTGCGGGGAGGCTCCCGTACGTACATTACATTTTCCCCTGTAGCCTGGCTTACATCACGTTAATTACAGGACCAGCCACAGAACTGGGACGGGCAGAGCGGGCACAGGGCCCCCGGCACATGGTGAGCCCGGCCTCGTTCTCAGCACCTCACAAACATCGCGTCACACAGCCCGTTGGCCACCCTCGCGCTCAGGTCCATGCAGGCTCAGAGGCCCCCACCTGTGGTGGACCCCCCATTGCTGCCTCTTCAGCTGGTTATAGTGCAGCCGGCACTGATGGGCATCTTCTCCAGGCAAGGTTCTGGCAGGTGCTGGACAGACAGGTGGAAGGGGGTCCTGTCCCTCAGGAGGGAGAGGCAGGGATGTGCTCAGGACACGGCCATTTCAGGCGTGGATGATCCCAGCCAGGCCTGGGAGCGGGCGAGTACACGCATGAGCACTGGCTGTGCTTTCTGTCTGTGCAGCGGAGTCAGGGAGGTCTGACCAGCCCTAGCACTTCTAGCCCGAGAGGGTGAGGCCGAGATTTAAACCCACATCTCTGACTTCAGAACTCAGTCTTGTCTGACCTGAGGGGGACATGGCTCAGGAAAAGGGAGGGAGGGCAGCGGGGAGGGCACTGCAGGCCAGGCCCAAAGCTGGGCAGTACAGCATGAGGAGCTGTGAGCTCTGGTGCTGCAGGAACACGGGAGCAGGTGGGCCCGTCTCCAGGGTGGGTGGCTGTGGGGCCAGAGGAGGGGGAAGCTGTGGGTGAGGTCCCTCCAGGTGTCTGTGGTGCGGGCGATTCTCTCCGGGGGACCCTGGCCTGTCCTTAGATCCGCAGACCTGCACGGAGCTAGCTGCCTCCAGGCCCTGGGCCAGCCGGCCCTCTGACCTCTCTCAGCACTATATATAGGCCAGTCAGCAGCTGCTTCTCTTAATCCCAGAGAGAGCCCTCCTCCGAGAGTCCTCGAGGAGCATGTGAGGGTTGGGTGGTGCAACTTTACCCTTTGGTGTGGAGCTGCAGGTGCTCCAGTTCTCGTCGTCGTTCTGCACTTCCTCTTCCAGACACCCCATGAGGGGAGTAGAAAATGTAATTGAAAAAAGCGCCCACCCCGCGTGTATTCATATGGACATAGCGAGACAGGTAGCGCCAGCCTTTCCCGAGTCCCAGCTCACGGCAGGGACAGGACTCCATGTAGCTCTGTCCCTCCAGCCAGGAGAAGTAGGCCCAGATCAGGCCTGGCTGGTGTGCTCAGTGGTTAGAGCGTTGGCTCACACATCGAAGGGTTGCGGGTTTGATTCCCAGTCAAGAGCGCGTGCCTGGGTTGCAGGTGCATCCCCAGCCCTGGTGGGGTCAGTGCAGGAGGCAACCCATCGATGTGTCTCTCTCGCATCACTGTTTCTCTCCCCTGCACCCCCTTGCCACTCTCTTAAACTCAATGGGAAAATATTAACAACCACAAAATAGGAACCAAGCCTCACGCAGGCATCGCAGCCGCTGCGAGGAGGGCCTGCAGCCCTGCGGTGGCTCTGCCCGTGTTAGCCGCTCTGGGGCTGTGCTCCGGCCGGGCAGCCTTTTGCTCTGCGTCTCCCATTTGGGTGGTGAGGTTCCACGGGTGTCCTTGTGCCATGGCAGGGCGCGATCCCGAGGAGCAGCATGTTCTGGAGGCCCCTCGCCAGCCTGAGCCCTGAAGCAGCGAGCTGCCTTCTCGATCTGCAAGCCAGGAGGGCGCCTGAAGCCTAGATACATGGCCCTGAGACTTCCTTTTCGCCCCGACCCCCCTACCCCCCTGGGGCAGCTCTTTCAGACATGAAGATGGAGCCCTTCCGGCAGGTGTCAGCCTCCCTGTCACTCCGTACACGGCTTTATGTCTCCCTGCTCGGCCAGGGCCCTTGTCCGGAACCTCACCCAGCAGGGGCCTCCCTCCCCCTCTGGCTGTGTGTGTCTGTTCCCATGCCTGTGCCCTTCAGTGGCACCTCATAAAGTGTCCGCTGTGTGGGCCAGGCCAGGGCCAGATGGGGCGAGGAAGCCAGCAGAACTGGAAATTCCTCATCTTGGGAATGGTTTGGTAGACTGGGAGCAGTCCTGGTCTCAGGAATGCTGCCTCCCCATCCCCTAGGCCTTGTTGCCTGGCATCGTGGAGATGGGCTGTGGCTCTGGCCAGACCTCCCAGGGCCAGGGGCAGGGGCAGGGCAGGCTGAGAGGGCTGCTGGCGGCTGGATCTGTGCCCTTTGTCGGGATGAGCCAGTGAACAACCAGCCGGAGCTTTGCCAGAGAACGTACTGATTTAGTCACTTAGCACCTCCGTCCCTACGGCTCCCCCTGTGCAGGAGGCGCAGGCCTGGGTTTGGCAAAGTAAACGCTGAAGAAGCGACAGGAGGGCTGCAGGGCGTAAAGGAAGGCTTCGCTCGGGGCGGTCCAGAGGTCAGCCTGCCTCTTCCCAAGGGCCCTGGCCTTTCTTCGCCGACGTCCGTGGCCTCTTAGCTGTCAGGAGGGCTTCTCTGGGATTAAGAGAAGGACCAGGACCGTCAGACCAGTGACGCTGCTTCCCTCCGGAGAGGTGACAGCCTGACCCTTACCCTCTCTGAGCGCCCCGCCCCCGCTGTGAGCAGCGGGCAGAGGACACCACTGGGCTGCCCGCACAGCCAGGGCGGAGGGAGGGCCTGTGCTGACTGGGCGGGCGGGCGCTGAGGGACACGGACTCGGGGCGCTGTGGGGACAGGCACGGGTGCCTCCTAAACGCAGGCCTTGCAGGCTTCACCAGCAGTCGGTTTACTAGAAGAGCAGTTAAAAGGCGGCTGAGGGTACAGAGCAATGCCGTAGTACTTTCTAAGGAGTGTTTGTCCCCACCGCTCTATCTCCTTCACTCCTTCAGCTCCAGGGCTGTTTCTGTCTGTGTCTTACATGTGAGGAAAGTGAGACACACAGAGGGTATAGCCTAACCCAAGGCCACAGAACCAGGTGAACACAGTGGGTCAAACACGTCCTCTGGAGCCCTGGGTGGCAGTAGTTTCTAGAAGCTGCTCGTCTTCAGGGCCCTGAGCATGTAGTTAGAGTGTTTGGGGCAGACCTCGCCCTCTGCCTCCCTCTTCCTCTGCAGGTGGCCTGGGGGGCGGGAGCTGCCCTCCTCTTTGACTCAGGGGAGTATGTGGGACCCCTGCTGGGCCAGTCCTGTGGATGCTGCCCCCCAGGCTGACCACAGCTCTGCGTGCGCAAGACTTTGACACCAGAGCTCGGAGGAGACCAGTCGGAGCCCCTGCCTGGCAGGGAGCTGTGTGGACGTGGCACAACTGTCTGGAGCCTGCACAGCTGGTGAGGAGCCGGGCTGCAGAGGGCGAGAGGACGCCAGCCTGAGGGAGCGGCTTCCTGCTGCCACGGCCCCGGCGGCCACCACCCCACCCTCCCCTGTCCCGGCCCTTCAGCTGTAGTGCAGGGGCTGTACTGAGCCTCCTGATGAACCCTCGTGGCTTGGCCCCGTGGGAGCCATGCCTCTTCTTGAACCGAAAGGATGTGACTAGCAGAGGCGCCCACTTGGCTCTGGCTGTGCCTCCCTCGCCCTAGGGGTATCCTCACCATCGTCACCTGGAAGAGTAGTGGGTGCAGTGCAGTTGAGGCCTGTCTAGTCTCCTTCCTTCCCCGTGAGGAGGAGCCTTTAACATGCAGCCCCTTCCTACTGTGGCTCCTATAGGCTCTCCAGGCTTCAGCTCTCTCCAGCTGTATCCTTTCCCACCTTTCCCACCCAGCAGCGGAGGGACTCCCCACTGTCTGCCCCAATCCTGTTCCTCAGTGCTCTGTGTGCTCTGCACCCTCCTCCCCCTGCCCCATCCCCTCTACCCCCAT